CCGGCTGGGCTGGTTTGACTTCACACGAACTGGGAGAGAAAGGCGGAGTTAGGTGCTGATAATATAATTGTACCATTTCATTTTCCAGGTACACCGAGGCAGAAGCCCGGGGAAGCTCAGAAGCTGAGAAGGAGTAAGAGGCAAGGACACGGGGATTGAAGACCGGGCTCCAAGGCAGAAATCCCACAGAACTCCTCCCAGACCCAGAGAAAGAAGAGGCATCCGTGAGAGAGAACAGAGAGGTGGGCCGAGAAGCAGGGGGAATGGAGACTCAGACACCCTGAGTCAAGCTAGAGAAGACCAAGGAGAGGCCACGATAACCAGGGATAAGCACAGAGGGAAACAGGGGTAGAACTCGGCCACAGCCTTGGGTGAGTGAGTCAGGAGAAGAACAGTGGGGAGACTGAGGCCGAGTGTGCCTGACCACACGCTCCCACCCGGAGCGCCTCACCATAGCCTTTGAAGAGATAGTCCAAGGTGGCCTGCTCACCTCGGCCGCTGAACTCCTCAGCCTGGTCCACCAGAGCCTCCTTCACCGCCTTGTATCCACACAGCACCACGATGCGCCGGGGCCCCAGGTGGACCGTGAAGGCCGGGCCATATCGCTCGCTGATCTGATGGAGGTGGGAGTGCTTAGAGGCTGCGGCCCACACTGGGAACTGGCCCCGTGCCCAGCCCTCCCCTACTGCGTGCATCTCCTCCAGGTTCTGATACTCAAGGGGCTGGACATCCCCAAATCGGCTCTTTCTCGTCTAGGACCCTGCTGGCCAACCTGCAAATTTCCACTTTCTTAAGACTCTGGTCCAACCTTGCCCATCCCCTGCCACCAAGTCCCAGCTCATTTAGGCAGGCTTCCAGCCCCACCCCCATTCCACCCATCCCATGTCCTGACACCTTCATGAGAGAGTTGTACATCTGTTGTGCAGTGTGGTGATGGAGAAGCACCGGAGCTGCTTGGCTTGCTCCCCGTTGCTGAATGCCACGCCTGGGGAGGGAGCGTAGGGGTGTGGTGAGGCGGGGAGGGGCGGGGACAGAGGGGGGCAGAGGTGAGCGGACCCCGGAGTGGGAGGATGGGTTGGGGGGTGAGGGAGACGGGGAGAAATACAACTCAGGGTCAGAGAAGTACTGAAAGAGATAGAGACCGGGTTGGAAGAAAAGAATCAGAGGGAGACACGCAAGACAGATGCCCAGAGAAACCGAGCTACATGCGGAGACACATAAGCAGAGGGAGAGAGGGAGGGAGGAGGAGCCCGACCTCCGTGGAGAACTGGGTAGTGGCAATAAAAATCACGGAGGATCCTAACGCTGAGCTGGAGAAAGAGGAAAATACGGAAAGACAACAGAGACGGTCTGGAGAGAGGAGACGACGTTTCCAGAGCTGAAGGCATGGGGTGTGAAGCAGAAATAAGGTGAGATTCTCAGACAGAGGAGGAAAAGACAGACAGGGAGTTGGGCTGAGGTGGTCACTTGTTCAGTTGTTAAGGTATTAAGAGATGGACTATCCTAATAGGGACCAGTAGGTAAGTTGGGATGGGAACACATCCGCAGGCGGCATGGCTGGGCCAATTGTTGGGGTTGTTCTGCTCCTGAAGGGAGAGAGGCCTTCAGGCCAGGCCCACTCCCCCTCAGGGCTCTCAGAGCCCTTCTGAGTTCTTTCCATTTGGACCCACCTCTCTTAGGTCCAGACCAGCGGTGGGAAGAGAGACCTCAGTTCTGCCAGGGTTTTGTTCAGGCTGCTGGCTCTGCCCAAAATGCCCTTCCCACACTCTTTACCTGGCTGCCTACCTGTCCTTTACTCATGAGCCCTGCTGTCACTTTTTTAAGGTAGGAATATTTAGGAGAGGGATACAGAGAGCGAGTGCATGCTATGGAAGTATTGCTTTATGGTTTGCACACAGGTCCTGCCCATGGACAAGTGCTGGTGGATGGAGCAGTCACGGTTATTATTCTTGAGATTGTGAGGATGTTATGAGGGCCATGATTTGAAGAGGCCTTCATGTCTCCCAAGGCAGGAGGTTGAGAGGACATGGGGGTTCATGCTTCCAGAGACAGGAAGTTTGAAAAACACTGGGTTTCTGTCTCCTAGGCGGGATGTTTGGGAGACATGAGACTTGTGTCCTTGAGGGAGGAGGTCTAGAAATGAAGTTCATGTCTTTTGAGAGAGGACGTTTGGGGACATGGAGTGCATAATCCTTGCAGCATGAGCTCTGGGGAGATACTGGTTTCAAGAATCTCTGAGTGGGAAGGTTGAAGGGTCATGGTGGTTTTGGAAGTGTTTGATTGAGGCAGTGGGACAGGGGCTGGGAAGCTTCTAAGGGGAATGGGGTGCTGGGTCACAGGGAGCAGGTTGGAGGTCCCCTTAGGTGGGGCAGGAAAGTACCTTGGGGAGGAGGAACTCTCGAAACTTGGTGTCCTTGGTGATTCTCCGGGCCACGCCCATGGGGATCATGTCTCCAAATCTTTGGATCTCGTGGATCACCGCCTCTGTGTAGGGCATCTTGGCCTTGTCCTCAAACTTGGGCTGACGGTTCGTGCCAACCACCCGGTCAATCTCCTCATGGACCTTGGCTGCCCACCCCTGATTCCTCCCTCCACCTTGTTCTTCCCCTTAGTCCTGCGCTCCCACAGCCCTTGTTCAGCGGGTCTGGAAGCTCATGGTGTAATTTCGTGGGATGGTAGCAAAGCCCACGAGCTTGGGGGACACGTCGATGTCTTGGGGCAGCTGCGG